AGAAGAGTATGAAGGGATGGACACTGGGAGGAGGTAACTATGGGGAGGAAGTGGGAGGGGAGCTGCTGCATTGTAAATTTTGGTCAATGACATAAGACAAAGTATATGTGAACTGCTGTATGAAAAGTGAATTTACTCTGTAAATCTTCACCCAAATCCTAATAAAAAAAAAAAATTAGGAGTCCCTGCATAGTGCATATAGTTAAACACTCAGCTAGTAGCTGAAAGGTTGGTGGTTCGAAACCCCAGTGTCACCATGGAAGATTATAGCTGAGAAAACTCTATGGGGCAGTTCTACTCTGCACACACAGATCCAGTTGTCATGAGTTGGAATTGACTGAACAACAAAAGCCATAAAATTAAATCGGACCGATTGTTCAAGAAAAGGACAACCATTTCTGATAGGAAGATGAAACATTCCCCCTGCTTTATTTGGAACAGGGGTAGAGGAATGGAAATGGAGAAAGAGCACACAATTGCACAAAATTTAGCAGAGGTGCCAGGAGAAGAATTCTTGGTGGAATAATGGGGAACAGGCATGCCAACCTCTGAGTTCTTAGGAAATAAAGCAAAGGTGTGATCTGGGGCAGGGGAAGATAGTTGTTCATAGAAATAGTACTCAGGACCTGCTGAACAGCACAGGTTGGGTGGGGTAATCACCTGATGTTGTTGCTGTTAGTTGCCATAGAGTCAACTGTGACTCATGGTAACCATAGTGGTGAAGAAAATACTTGGAATATTGGAGGAAAACTCATGAACAACCTGCAATAAGCAGATGACACAACACTGCTCGCTGAATGGGAAGAGGACTCGAAGTACTTACTGATGAAGATCAGAGGCTATAGCCTTCAGAATGGATTACACATCAACACAAAGAAAACAAAGGTCCTCACAACTGGAGCAATAAATAATAAATAAAATAAAAAGCAATAAACTAAGAAAAGATTGACATTGTCAAGGATTTCACTTTACGTGGACCACAATCAACGTTCACGGAAGTAGCAGTCAAGAAAGCAAGCGACATAGTGCATTGGGCAAATCTGCTATAAAAGACCTCCTTAAATACCTCTCTATAGTAAGCTTCAAACTAGTGTATCCAACATTTCCACTTAGATATCCCAGAGAACCTCAAACTGGAGATGTCCAAAACTGAACTCGTCTTCCGTTGTAATATAGATTCCAAGCGGTAATTTTTCAATGAATTCTATAGATTCTAGTACATTAAGAAAATGCACATGGTGAGTCATTTATTCACTTTGGCTTACTCATCTACAAGTGTATTTTCTATGTTTATAGGTTAATTAACAGAAAAGAGTTATAATTTAGCAATTGCATTATAACAGCAGCATGAAAAATAAATTTTATTTACAATTCAAGATAAACACAAGATAAAAGTATAACTAAAATCCTGAAAACTACCCTTAGGAGACTCTGCAAATTTTTCTCTCAAATTTAGAATGTTCTTAAAAAAATCTGTGAAGCCAGATGTTCTCATACATAAAAACAATTGTCAGTGTTAAAGCCATATGGGGTGTAAGAGTGAATTCTGCTGCAGCTGCAGCAACGCAGTCCTAAGCGCAGTTGATGTGTTTATTTTTCCTTCAGTAATGTTTAGAGCAGTGTTGCTCAAAGTGACGACCTGTTAGAAATACAAATTCTCAGGCACCACTCCAGACCTCAAAAACCCAAATCCACTGCCATGCAGTTGATTCTAACTCACAGCAACCCTTTAGGACAGAGTAGAACTGCCCCACAGGGTTCCTAGGGCTGTGAATCTTAACATCCCACAGAGCAGCTGGGGGGCTCAAACTGCCGACCTTTTGGTTAGCAGCCGAATGCTTTAACCACTATGCCACCAAAGCTCCTCCGCCCCACACCTACTGAATCAGAAGCTCTGGGCTTGAGGTCCAGCGGTCTGTGTTTTAACAAGCCTTCCAGCATTCTGATCCCCGCTCAAGTTCGAGAACCACGGTTAAGACTAATAGCATAAGTCTGGGCCAGTGAGGCCAGTGTAAGCATTTTCTTACCAGAGATTGCTGGCTCATAAAGCTTGTACTGTTTCTTCTAGTTCTTAATGTGTCAGCTTGGAACACCTGCGAGTTATCGCTAAGAAAAAAGAAAAAGAAAACATTTGTCATATAAAATCCTTTACAAATTTTTTTGAAAGAAATAAGATTTCAAATACTCAAACAGTAATGTCATTAATGTAAATGGCTTCTTTGTGGAGACAGCTGTGCAGAGATGTACACACACACACACACACACAAACACACAGGTTTCCCTGTAAGGGAAAGAATTCTCAAGAATGTTGCTTTACCTCTAATCGAGCTACTGAGAAGTATCATTTACTATGACCTTAGAAATACACCCCTTTCAGTGTAAACCTGTAGCTTATTTAAATTTATCCTCAGAGTTACAGTGTGCAAGCACCAATTCCCTCTCAGCTCCCAAATTTTCCCATGCTTCTAACAAGCATTCTGGCTGTACTTCTTCCAAGACAGATGTGTTCGTTCTTCTGGCAGTCCATGGGATATTTTATATTCTTCTCCAGCACCATAATTCAATTTCTACCGCTATAATTCAATTTCTACCGCTATAATCTCCCTTGTAGTTGTTTTTCTTTCCAGGCTCCTTGTCAAAACTTATTTCCAACCCTTTTTAGCTTTCTGCAGACTCCAGACTCTACAGCAGTCTCGCTGGCCTCCTTACCTCTGTCCTTTCCCGGGGTCACTGTCCTAACTCTCAAGTGACTCTCTGCTGAACTCAGTTACATGGTTACCATGGCATTCAAAGTCTGTGGTTCGACTTTGGGATTATGTGAACTAGTAGAATTTTAAAACAAAATCTAAGAACAAACATATGGTTGCTACCTTTTTCCTTTTGCCAAGTATTTGCCAAGTAAGGTCATTAAAAAAAAACAAAAAACCTCACCATCTACTAATACCATGGTTTCATTTATGAAATAATATTTGGTATTAAAGGGAAAGAAAAGTATGATTAACAATTTCATAATAAACTACAGTCCTGCTCAGGAAAAGACAATTGGCAACTACATAACAATGTACTTAAAGCATGCTATATTGAATTTTTTTTAACATTTTATAGGGCTTTAGGTGAAAGATTACACAGCCAATTAGTTTTCCATTCAGTAATTCATACATAAATTGTTCCATGACATTGGCTGCCATCCCCACAACGTGTCAGAACCCTCCTCGTTTCCACCCTGGGTTCCCCGTTTCCCTTCGTCTGGTTCCGTCTCTTCTATCCTGCCTTCACATCTTTGTTTTTGGACAAATGCAACTCATACAGTTGATTGTTGTAAAGAGCACATTCTTCATGGGCTATTGTTTATTTTATAGGCTCCTCTATTTGGTTTAAGGAACTCTGGTGGCGTAGTGCCTAAGGCATCTGAGTGCTAACCACACGGTTGGTGGTTCAAACCCACCAGCCACTCCACAGAAAGCAAGACTGGGCAATCTACTTCCATAAAGATTTACCTCCTCGGAAACCCAACGGGGGTCACCATGAGTCATAATCGACTCAATGGCAGTGGGTTTGGTGTTTTAATAATTATTTGGTTGAGAGGTGGCCTCTGGAAGTGGCTTTGGTTCCACATTAGAAGGGTGACTTAGGGTGACTGTCTTGGGGGTTCCTCCAGTCCCTATCAAACCAGTAAATCTGGTCTTCTTTTTATGACTCTAAATTTTGTTTTCATTTCCCTCTCATTTTATCTAAGACCTTCTACTGTGTCCCTGTTCGGAATGGTTGTATTTAACTATTTTTGAAAAATCGTGGATTGGTGAAAACTTCAGCTGGATAAGCACTGATCAGCCGACAAACATTTGGAGCCACTGGTCCAGGCAGCATCTACTTCTCAGCTCTCTGGGGCACACCTATGGGTGTCTGCCTCCACGCATGCTCTGTATACCTGAAGTGCTGACCCAGCGATCCTGCCCTCTTCCAGTCTGCATCCCATCAATTATTTAAGGCCCATTTCAAATGCCACTTTCTCCATACACCTTTGCCTTCTGGCACATAACAAGCAATCATGCTGGAACTTCTCACTGCTTTCTCTGAAATCCCCCAGCACTTTCTTTATCTCTTTGGGTACTTATCTTATTCCACCATCTATTCAAGTCCTTTGAGGATCTGTCTTCCTTATTAAATTAAAAGCTTCCTAAACCTTGAGAGACATCTTTATATCACGGTAGTTTGCATATACTGAGGGGATAGACGTACCGGCCCAATGTTGACTCCCTTTTCTAGCCAGTTTCCCTATTGAGACAATAATATATTCCATCAGTTACTTAAAAGGAAATTGGAGGAACACTAAAACCAAAAGGTTGTCGAGTCGATTCTGACTCATGGTGAGCCCGTGTGCCACACAGAATGCCTCCAGAGGACTTTTTTGGCTATGATCTTTACTAGAAGTAGATTGCCAGGTCTTTCTTCCATGGCATTACTAGGTGGGTTCAAACACCAACCTTTAGGTTAATACTCGAGTGGAAAGGAGGAACACTAATGAGTAATATATGTCCACTTTTTTTTGAGGGGAGAGGAGGTAAGTCTCAGGGCTGGCAATTATATTCTCCTATAATTTTTTTTCTGTCAATTTTAATTAGTAAGACTAACTGAAAGAAATAATTGAGGCAGGTTATGCTTCAACTGGGAGCTCTGGTTGGCATAGTGCCTAAGGCATTTGACTGTTAACCAGAAGGCTGGCAGTTCAAACCCACTAGCCACTCCTCAGAAGGAAGTTTGGCCAATCGACTTCCATAGAGACACACCTTGGAAATCCAAGGATGGGTCGCTATGAGTTGGAAACGACTCGACGGCAGTGAGTTTGGTTTGGGTTTGGAATGCTTCAACTGGTGTGAGTCATTCAATATGAATTCATACAACCCTGGGTGATACCTAGAACTGAGTTAAGTGCTACTTCCACCTTGCAAAAAATCAAGGTAATGTCACTGTTTAATCTACAATAGATTTATGTCAATTATATTCCTAAAGCAATCCGTCTTCATGGCCATTCTTCCAGGTTTTAAGAGTTCAATAAACCAAATAGTTGGTAAACTTTTACTTCAAAGGGCCGAAGAGTAAATATTTTAGGCTTGCTGGGCCATACAATCTCTGTCGCAACTACTCAACTCTGCCATCGCAGTGGAGAAGGAGCCATAGACAACAGTAAATAAACAAATGGGCAAAGCTATGTTCCAAAAGGAAGTTTCTGGGTGGTGTAAACAGTTAACAAGTTTGGCTGCTAACAGAAAGGTTGGAGGCTCGAGTTCAGGCAGAAGCACCTCAGAAGAAAGGCCTGGTGATCTACCTCCATAAAAAGCAGCTACTGAAAACTACATGGAACACAGTTCTACCCTGACACACATGGGGTCACTATGAGTTGGGGCTGATTCAACAGAAATCAGTTTTCTTATGGTCCAATAAAAATTTATTTATAAAACCAGGCAGCAGCTGACTGGGATCTTAAAAGCTTGCAAGCAGCCATCTAGATGCAACAATGGGTCTCCCCTCATCCAGAGCAAAGAAGAATGAAGGAAACCAAAGATTCATGGAAACAATTAGTCCTAGCGACTGGTATACCATGTGATCGGCACCCTATACGACTATGAGACCAGAAGAACTAGATGGTGCCCGGCTACCACTGTCAACCACTCGGAGGGGGATCTCTGTAGGAGATCCTGGATAGAGAGGGAAAAACAATATGGAACAAAATCAAAATCATTTTGAAAAAAAAAAAAAAAGGGGGAACAGGTTTGCTGGTCTGATAGAACCCGGTGGAACCACTGAGACTATGGCCCCTAGCTGCCCTTCAAGTCTGGAATTGAATTCATACCTGTGGCTTCCAGCCAAACAAAAGACAGGCATATGAGTTGTACATTTACATGAGGTAGATACACTCCTTGGAGAGAACAATCATGGCAGAAAGAAGGGCTGTAAATGCACAGGGAGACAGCTCAGGGGGAAGGAGTGCATGGAGGGATGGACACAAGGAAGAGGTAACTACTGGGAGGAAGTGGGAGGGGAGCTGTTGCATTGGGGTAAATTGGAGTCAATGTTATGAGACAAAGTGTATGTGAACTACTGTATGAAAGTGAATTTGCTCTGCAAACTTTCACCCAAATCACAATTAAAAAACAAACAAACAAACAAACAAACAAAACAGGCAGCAGGCTAGATTTGGCCAGCAAGTTGCAGTTTGTCCTCCAAAGAATTGAGACAGTAACATTTTAAATGCAGGCCAGGCTAGAGCTAGTTAAAGAGGGGAGCCATTGACAGAAATCTAGGAACTTAAGCTCCAATTCTTTGAATAAGGGTCAGAGAGAAGAAAGAAAACTACTACCTTTAAATATTCCTTGTTATTGATACCAGTAATAATGCCAGCCAGTGGTAGGGAGAAAGATGACAAAGAACTAAGAAGCACTTTTGACATTAGTATTTTTGTTAATATGAGATGTACACATAAAACCATGCAGGAACTTCTTAAAAACAGTAACACTTGTATTAAAGAGTGGACACTTAAGGAACAAAATCTGCAAAATGTTGGTATAAGAGAGAGCTTCTTTAAATGCAGAAAGCATCAAGCAAAATTGGAAAATTATTTGAAAGAGGTGCAAAAATATTTAGCCAACTGTTAACAGAATGCTTCACTGCCAGGTGTAGTTTCAAAGGAGGTAAAGCAACAAGTATTAGAGGTCCACATACAGGAAAGTGAGAAAAGTGAGCAGGGGACATATGCAACTAAAAAGGATTGAGGTGAAAATGAATTTAACTCAGTATATCTTAGCCTGACCCCAATTGGTGGTACAACAGCACAAACAATGCTACTTCTTTTTGAAGGACATGAGTTCCTAGACTTGGTCCACTGTAATTTCTTTAACTCCTACAAGACAAACAAAAATCCTCATCACTGGACCGATGAGCAACATCAAGATACATGGAGAAAAGATTGAAGTTGTCAAGGATTTAATTTTCCTTGGATCCACAATCAACGCCCATGGAAGCAGCAGTCAAGAAATCAAATGATGTATCGCATTGGACAAATATGCTACAAAAGACCTCTTTAAAATATTAAAAAGCAAAGATGTCACTTTGAGGACTACGGTGGCCTGACTCAAGCCATGGTATTTTCAATCACCTCACATGCATGTGAAAGCTGGACAATGAATAAGGAAGACTGGAGAAGAATTGATGCCTTTGAATATTATGATACTGGTGAAAAATACTGAATATATTATGGACTACCAGAGGAAGGAACAAATATGTCTTGGAAGAAGCAAAGCCAGAATGCTCCCTAGAAGAGAGAATGGTGAGACTTTGTCTGTCATACTTTGATCATGTTATCAGAAGGGACTAGTCCCTGCAGAAGGATATCATGCTCGGTAAAGTAGAGGGTCAATGAAAAGGGGAAGACCCTCAAAGAGATGGATTTACAAAGTTGCTTCAACAATGGGCTCAAGCATCACAATGGTTGTGAGGGTGGCACAGGACTGCGCAATGTTTGCTTATGTTGCTATGAGTCGAAACTGACTCAGTGGCACCTGACAATAACAACAGATAATATGCTACTACCCCACCACCACATTCCTTTCTGTACAAATTTTACTTCATGCATCAGAATCTTAAGCTACAGATTTAACACTGTAACTATGTTCTAATACTTATGATACAAAACCAAACCAAACTCACTGCCATTGAGTTGATTCCAACTCATAGTAACCCCCACTGGGTTTCTAACACTGTCAATCTTTATGGAAGTAGACTGCCTCATTTTCTTCCACAGAGCGGCTGGTGGGTTTGAACCACTGACCTTTTTGGTTAAGGGTCAAATGCCTTAACCAGAGCTCCACCAGAGCTCCTTGAAACATAGAATAACATCAAGTGCTTTGCGTAACAAAGCAACTTATGAATGGATAACATATCATGCCCTTGCTCCCAGGAGTGTGAGGATTGGCTAACTCGGCCTGGTTTACCCCCACCCTCCATAATGTTTACTACATTAAACAGATCCACGTGTTCCTTCAAGTATATGCCCTCCAACTATTTGCAACCTGTTTCTTCTTTTCATAATGCCTTCCAATAAAACCAACATGCTCCCCAACTGCTTTCTTCCAGTAGCAGAGTGGGTCCCGTAGCAATTCACCCATTCACAAAATCCTGACTTTATAAATGTTGTTTCTCCCCCTCTATTTTTGATCTCCCATTTTAATATGGTAATATATTATCTTTTGGTCAATCTAAGTTTGCTTTGCACGTTGTGACAATATATTCTCCCCTACTACAGATGCCAGGAAGTTGGATGAGTTTAATCAGACTGTTAATTATCAGGTGTTAATATAGTAGAAGGAACTAACTCAGGAGTCAGGAAACACAGGTTCCTAGCACTGGCTTTAGCACTATGTCACTTTGGAGGTTCACAGGCCTCAGTTTCTTCAGTGGTAAATAAAGAAGGTAGATCTGGTGTCTTAGGTCCCTCCTAAAAGTCTATGATGTTACAAATTACAACGATCAATTAGTATGATGGCAGCAAAAGCTGAGAAGCATATGCAGTGAATGCATATGTTTTTCAGATGTTTTTACAATATCTAGAAAACCTTACGATACAGGGATATGGGATCCAAGACCTCATTTTAAAACTTGATTTTAATAAATATTAAGCTTTAGTCACATCATCATCATCATTTAAGGTAGTGTTTCTAAAACTTTTTGTTGTTGTTATCATTATTGGCCCTCGAAGGAACCTTTTTAGACTTTTTTCTCCCAATCACCCACTCTCCATGAAATTTTAATATCACAGATATACTGAATATCTCTTTATGTGTATCTACGCTTTATGCACAAAAAGAGTAAGATTTTTGTGTCCCCCCCCTCCCCAAGACCAATTATCACCCCCATTAAGAATCTCATTTAGAAGTTTTCTTGTATACAACTATTTCTATCCCTCATGTGCTGGAGGTGAAGGTCAGAGGTAACAAAGCAGCTGAAAGAATGATAAAAGTTAGAGTCATCACTGAAGATCCGAAGGGGCAGGGGCTCCTCGGATCATTCAAAGGGGCGTGAGTAAGAGATGGGGTGAAGTTAGAAAAAGTCGTGCTCCATACTAATTGGTTGCTCTTTTCGGATCCAGGTGGACAGTCAGAAGAGAAAGTTCAGTTTCAGGTACGTGTCAAGCCCAGGGTGGGTGTGCGCTCTACCTCCAGCTAGCCTGCCCCACTCTCTATCCCCCGAAGGGTGGGATCTGGGATGGGAATTTTATCGGAAGTCACTTTCTCCAACTCTTCCCAGTCCTTCTCCCCCACTCCCTTGCCTCCCTTAGTATCTCAGCCTTGCTCACCCAAGACCACTGATTAAAGGCTCGCTGCTGGATCTTCTCAGGATGTTGCTGTCCGTGGTGGTCGAAGTCGGCAGCAGGTCCAGGTCCAGTTCCATTCTTTCCTGTTCCATGTCCGTAACGAGGAAAATGCTACTTCTTAGTTCGAAGTTCTCCAAGTTTTCAGATTCCCGTTCACATATGGGTAAGTTGGCTGGGTAGAGGGTGGGGAGAAGGTGTTGGGAGAGAAAAAGGGGAAAACGAAAAGAGAAAAGGAAGCTCTCAGACGCGTAGGGGTGCTCATCTTTGCAGCTCAGCATCCCTAACACCAGTGGGCACAAGGTGCGGCAAGACTGGCTCCGCACCTTCTACCCCCTAAAGCTCCGGGCTTCTACCGATGAAAAGGCCCTCACCTCTACGACCAGAATTCAAATGAGGGAAACTATTATTTCAGCCACTGCCGCGAATCCTCCTGCTTCATCTCGCTCAGCGCTGGCAATCCCAGACAAGCCTTTCCGGCCAAAACAAAAACTACAACCTGCCGCCTTTGAGAATAAATTAGGGCCCGCCCCTCTGCGCACGCGCCTTGTGTCCTGGCCGACGCATGGTTACTACGCAAGCAATTAGCGTCATAAAGGCGCCTCTGTGAGCCTCGGTTGAGGCTCGGTCAAGGTGTTACCTCATTTGCTCAAGCCTTCTCCTCCCAGTTCTTAGAGCCCGCGTACCTTGGTTATTCCTAAGCAGTTCATCTGCTACTTGAGCCCTGTTTTGGTTTCAACTATTCGTAAAGAAAGGGTGAGGGAGTGAGCTGTGTGGGAGCTCCGTCCTTTTTGCCCTTGTCCAATACGCATTCTACTGCTTATTTTACTTTTCAGACAGTTTAAGAGATTCTTGGCAGATGATAACGGTTAATAAAAATATATTAAGTGAATAGACAAAATCTCACACTCGACCATTACAGATACCTAATTTTTAAAAATCTATTAACACAAAAAAATAGGAATTATAAAACGAGAAATTAGACTCTTCTGGAAAAGAGGTAGTCATATGAAATGGATTGCTGTTTGTTGTTCTGTGTTGTGGAGTCGGACCCGACTCATAGCGATCCCTCCTTGGGTTTCCAAGGCAGTATCCTCGGAAGGAAGGTTGGGCAATCCTACTTCCGTAGTGATACTGCCTCGGAAACCCAAGGAGGGGTCGCTATGAGTCGGGGCCGACTCGATGGCACATAACAACAACAACAACAACAACTGGAAGTAGATTGTCCAAGCTTCCTTCTGAGGAGTGGCTGGTGAGTTTGAACCGCCAGCCTTCTGGTTAGCAGTGCAGTGCCTTAGGCACTATGCTACCGGAGCTCCTAACTATGAAATGGATATAAGATGGCAATTAGTTTTCAGCTATTACCAAAGAGGAAGAGTTTTATATATTTATTTTACTAAAGTGCAGCTACAGATCAGGAAACCACAATCTGTAAAGACAAAGACAGGATTCATAGTACTTAATTCACTGCAATCTACTTCTGTAGTGATACTGCCTGGGAAACCCAAGGAGGGGTCGCTATGAGTTGGGTCCGACTCGAAGGCACATAACAACAACAACAATTCACTGCCATGGAGTTGATTCTGACTAAGTGACACTAGAGGACAGAGTAAAATTGCCTACTGTCGCATAGGATTTCCAAGGCTATAATTTTTCCTGAAGGAGCTCTGGTGGCGCTGTGGTTAAAACGCTGGGCTGCTAACCATAAAGGGTTGTGCCGCTCTCTTGGGAGAAAGATGAGGTCGTCCGCTTCCATAAAGATTTACCCTACGAGGCAGTTTGACTCTGCCCCATAGGGTCCCTATGACTCGGAATGGACTTGACGGAATGGGTTTTGTTTTTGGTTTAATTTTTATGGAAGCAGACTGCCACATCCTTCTCCTACTGAGCGGCTGGTGGATTCAAAGCATTTTGGTTAGCAGCTGAGCACTTTAACCACTGAGACACCAGGGGTCCTTTCATGGTGCATACACAGGTTGGAATGCCAAAGGATGAAATGCTACAAAATCAGAATTCTGTATGCTACAATACCAAAACCAAACCAAACTCACGGCCATTGAGTCGATTCTGACTCATAGCGACCCCCACTGGGGTTCCAAGGCCGTAAATATTTACAGAAGTAGATCACCCCATCTTCCTTTTGTGGAGCAGATGGTGGGTTTGAACCACTCACTTACTGATTAGCAGCCAAATGCCTTATCCACTATACCACCAGAGCTCCTGTATGCTAACAATAGCAAACAATATTTAAAGAAATTATATTTACTTCTTCCTACTGTTAACCCACACATTATTATACCAACTTAGCTGTTTCCTGATAAGGTTTCCCTGGTCCATAGCAATGTTATGATCTTAGATTGCTAGTTTGCTTAGATCTTTACCTTGACTCTGTTATCCCTGCTTGGCCCAGTCTGCTGCCTTTTGTCCCAGACCTCTTGCTTATGAAGTGTGGCCCGCAGACATGTCATAATCAGCTCTTTATTGCACTAGTTGTCATGGCTACGTTGAAGCTACATTTTAGCCGTTAGTTAGTATAAGAGCAAGATAAACACAAGTTTAACCCATGCCCACAAACCACAGATGCCCCAAACCTCCCCAAAACACTTACTTTAAGGGTAAAAGGAATTGGGTCAGTCCAGAATTATGTGAATAAAACCTGCAAGTGATGGTCTTCTTATATAACCTTGAGTTCCTTCTCCTTATTAAGGTCCTGAGAATTAGGGTTTCTACTGACTTGTTTTACTCCTTAGAGTCAGGAACTATGAATGTGGTCAACAAAGAATTACTTAGTACTTCTGTGGACAATAGAATGTACTATATAACCTTTTGAGCAGATGGGGGTTGCTGAGACCTTGAGATAAAAAAGATACATGAACTGCTCAAAAACAGGCTGTTGTTTCTATTTAGCTGTGGGAAAATACAGGCAATTTAAAAGAAACTATCCAAAAGTGTTTTAAAAACCCTCATATTACAAGCAGACGACATAAACATGGAGGAATGAAATGATGATTGGATTTGGCAAATTTTATATGGGACAGATGAATTGACCAAAAAAAAAAAAAAAAAAAAAACCCAAAAGCTAAACCCACTGTTGTTAAGTCAATTCCACCTCACAGCGACCCAATGGGGCAGTTCTACTCTGTCCTATAGGGTCCCTAGGAGTTGACTCCACAACAGTGGGTTTGTTTTTTGGTTTTTGGGTCAATTCAGTTGTCCCATATAAAACTTGCCAAGTCCAATTGTCATTTCCTTCCTCCATGTTTTTAAAGCACTTTTGGATAGTTTGTTTTAAATTGCCTGTATTTTCCCACGGCTAGATTAGAAACAACAACCTCTGTTTTTGAGCAGTTCATGTATCTCTTTCTGTTTGTTGGACTCAAGTCACTGGTAAATCGTAATTCCCTATATCACTGAAGGTAATGGCAAACTAGCAAAATTAAATTTACACCTTTAAATTACAATAGAAACACAGGCTACATGTAGTAGTTACATTTACATAGTTTCATGAGGTTCAAGTAAAAATGTAGGAAGAAAACAATGGAATTCGAAGTAAAAATGTTTAAGAACTACGTGAAAATCCTGTTGATTTTAACGTTAAACTTTACCGTTACCGTGAGATAAACTTGCACACAGTTGGTTGGGTCTTGTACCCTGCCCATGGAGCCCTGACGGCACAGTGGTAAAAGCGCTTAGTTGTTAATCGAAAGGTCTGCGTTTCAACCTATCAGCCATTCCACAGGAGAAAGATGTGGCAGTCTGCTTCCGTAAAGACGACAGCCTTGGAAACCCTATAGGGCAGTTCTACTCAGTCCTATAGGGTCCTATGGGTCAGAATCGACTGGACAGCAGTGAGCTTGTTTGTTTTCTATTCTACCCCTCTATCCCCACTCTGGGAGCTCTGGTAGCATAGTGGCTAAGGCACTTGACTGCTAACCAGAAGGCTGGCGGTTCAAACCCACCAGCCACTCCTCGGAAGGAAGG